ATTTATATGAACAATATGGTAAGTGCGATCCATGAAACTGGTGACAATCTACTCAATCTGGAAGATTCATATTAATATTGAAGTTATGCTATCATCCCATAAACTGGTGATGTGTCCATAGAGTGGGAACTCAAAAAGCAGGATGAACTGACACATCTCTTCTGATTGAAACTCATCTGATTTCTCCAGCATTAGTTTTTGTAAAGCTGCCATAAGCAGCTTAAAAAAAGAATGTTCTAATGCAGTAGTTCTAAGCATCTGATGGTGTTACATCCAGTTCAAAGTCAGCAAAAGCTTCTAAAATGCTTTCATTTAATTGCTTGAAAATATTACAACATGAAAGCTTGATTTTATCAACAAAACCACAGGTGGCACCACAGCTTCTAAAAGCATTAAAAACAGTTACTGCATTTATTCTTTCTCACCCTAAAGCCTCATAAATAGGTTGAACAGGACTTTTCTGTTGATCACTGCCAAGAGTGCAGAGGTTTGTTGATAAGTTGAAGTGCTAGCACTTTATCAGAACACATGTATCCAAGCAAGATGGCAACTCAGGAAATTTCATTTTACTATCTACTTATGTGCTCCTTAAATGGATTAGTTGATATTAAGTACGTGCCATTACTGTAGTGAAATTACTATTGATCGTTGAATTTGTGAATAATTTTATGGCCTAAGTACAGTAACCATTCTACCCTTGCTTAGAAATTGGACATTTTCAGTAAAACATTCCTGATCCCACCACTATTTAAGGCAACATACAATTGGCTGATTCCTTTAATAAGTGTTTGATATGAGCAATATTTTTCAATGACTTTGGAAAGTTGTATCTATTGAACATGATTTATATTTTATCATAAATTAAGGAAAGAAATTGCAGATGAAACAGATATTTATTGTGATAGAATCTCCAGATAAAGTGGGGTGAGATGTGAAGAGGGGGACTGAACTTAGAGTCCTTGCACAATAGAAAGCGGGGCAGGGCCTTACTTCCCCTAAAGTCCCTGAAGCCCTATCTGATCATTCCCAAGAGAATGCAGTTATTGTGGCAAGATTCTTTTAAATAGGCATTGCAACAATAAAGAAATAACTTTGATCAACTCATGGTTCCTTCTCCCCGACATTTACCAAGGCTTTGCAATAAAGTTGTTCCTTCAAACATTGCAATCCAAATGTTCCTATATTAGCTACTCAACTTTTCTTTGCTAGTTTACTATAGGAATGACATCTTCAAAATGTGCAGGGAACTAGAACCATGCTGATTATTCATAAGCGCTAATGGCATTTTAAATTTACATCTGGTTAAGATTTGGCAGCCAATAGCATTACCATTAAAGGTTTAGAGTCCTTTTTTATTTCCAAATGCCTTAGAATGCAATTTCACAGTTACATTCTTAGAATTTGTCTTCCACATGTTAACTTTCCTTTCCATTGATCTTTATAGGAAACCACAGTTCACCACAATGCTTTAAAACAATAGGGCGAAAATATATTTAGAAAGTGCATTGGGAAGACATGGAAACTGAAGGTGTTTTACAATATATCAGATGTTATCCTTCATATCTAGATTAATTTTAGCATTTGTCCATTTACAACAGCCTTTTCTAACCTGATGCACACCATATGACCTTGCTGGATGGACATGATGGATATCTGTTCATCATATTTGTAATTCATTAAACTAGGGAATGTTGATAAAGAATCAAAAGAGAAACTGTCGTGTTCTCAGTTGTCCCTCTGTACTTCTTTCCTTCCAAATCTAGATAAACGTTATCAAATATATCCTGTGGTTGTGGTTAATTTGCTGTGTAAATGGATTGTTATACGATGGAAGATATTGCCAATATGATGGACCAAGTCCTACAGCTGCAAAAACAGCAGGGGAAAATGCAGATGCCAAACATTAGAGGAATTGCATTTTAGGAAATCATGCTTCAATATTTGGCTACCAATTTATCATGGAATAGCATTAGATTTTAACAATTTAATAACTATCATCTTTGAACATCCATCCCCTGAAACAAAGTTATACATGCCTTTAGAGAAAATTCCAAGTGTGCTTATAACTTTATTTTTGCTTGCAAGAATCAATATATTGACTCCTTTGCTGGCAACTGGATTTATGCCCTTTGCTTAAAATCAGCTCTGGTGTTTTAAAATCATATTTTCTAACAGCCTAAGGGTAAACAGAGGAATTCTGCATTAATTAATGCTCGTACACCAGGGACAAAAAAATCCTGCTTACAAGAGGAATTTGGGTTGGGAGTAAACTGGACTGTTTTTTAAGTGGCACCAAGCACTTCAAATCCAATAGCAGAGATTTAATTGTCCTATAAAGATAATTGTTACTATCTTTCAATAAAAGAAAAATATCACACATACTGAGACCCAATACACAAACAAATGACTGCTGCTAAGAAACAAAGAAATGAGGGAAAGACAAATCATTTAACAAGAAAAAAACTTGAGTGGAAACAACAAACCCCCAAACAAAAAAACAGTCCTTGGTGCAGAATAAATGGAGCTGAAATAATTCTACTGGCTAATTTTGGAACAGAAGGCTCAAGGCAACATATATGAAATGCATATTTGTTTGTTAAGCAAAATTTGACATCATACATCATAGGAGATTTGCTTCTACAGGAAATAGTAATAGCTAAGTAGTTTAGATTTTGCAGGAGATTAGCAAAGAAGGGTCACATATGAGATCTGCAGCAGAGCAGCTGAGGTATAGGCAGAAAGCCCTACACTTAATTCATTCACCTTCAAAGAAAGAGAGAAAAAGTCCTGCCTGAATGTCAGGAAAGCAGCTATTAAATTAGTGCAAATAATACTGGGTTAGATGGACCAATCACCTCATGCCAAAGAATAATAGAATTGGAAGGGACCTTGGAGGTCTTCTAATCCAACCCCCTGCTTAGGCAGGAAACCCTGCACCACTTCAGATAAATGGTTGTCCAATCTCTTTTTAAAAACTTCCAGGATTGGAGCATTCATAACTTCTGGAGGCAAGTTGTTCCACTGATTAATTGTTCTAACTGTCAGGAAATTTCTCCTTAGTTCTAAGTTGCTTCTCTCCTTAATTAGTTTCCACCCATTGCCTCTTAGGTGCTTTGGAGAATAGGTTGACTCCAGAGGTGTATTCAGCCGGTTCTGACCAGTTCTGGAGAACCAGTAATGGAAATTTTGAGTAGTTCGGAGAACCGGTGGTAACCTTTCCCCTGGAGCAGGTGGGAATAAAGATTTTGCAGTATCCTTCCCCTGCCACGCCCACCAAGCCACACCCACCATGCCATGCCCACAGAATCAGTAGTAATTTTTTTTGAATCCCATCACTAGTTGACTCCCTTTTCTTTGTAGCAACACTTTAGATATTAGAACACTGCTATCATGTCATCACTAGTCTTTCTTTTCATTAAACTAGGCATACCCAATTTCAGCAACCGTTCTTTTTGATTTAAGCCTCTAGTTCCCTAATCATCTTTGTTGCTCTTCTCTGCACTCTTTCTTGAGTCTCAGCAACTTTTTTAGATTGTGGTGACCAAGTGTGTTCTTACCAAGGCATTATAAAGTGGTTAGTTAGTTTACTTTATTGTCATTGCACCTCACATTTGCACAACGAAACATCATTGCACCTCACATCATTGCACAACGAAATCAAACACCATCTTCAGTGCACATCATGACCATGAAAATAAACACAAACACACATCCTTCACCTTCCACACATTGAACCAAAACCCCCCAACACTGCATTATTCAGCAGAATTCAAAAGAGCTACTGCCCTGGGATAGAAACGGTTTTTCAGCCTATTTGTCCTTGTTTTTATTATTCTGTACCATGTACCAGATGGTAATAGTACAAAAAAAGGGTGCCCAGGATGAGATGGATCTTTGAGAATGTTTTGAACTTTCTTAAGGCAGCGGGAGCTATAAAGCTCTTCCAAAGAGGGGAGAGGGCAACCAATGATCTTCTGGCCAATGACGTTAACCCTTTGGAGTGCTTTCCTATCTGCCACTGTGCAATTGGCAAACCATACAGAGGTGTAGTAATTTTTTTGGTATTAACACCTCATGTGATCTTGATTTGATCCCTCTGTTAATACAGCCTAAGACTGTGTTGGGCTTCTTTGGCAGCTGTAGCACACGGCTGGCTTATATTTAAGCAATTGTCCCTTAAACTCCAAGATCCTTCTTACAATTACTGCTATTGAGCCAGGTATTACCTATACTATACATGTGCATTCAGTATTTATTGCCTAAATGTAGAACCTTACTTTTTTCATCAATGAATTTCATTTTGTTAGATAGGCCCCAATATTCATGTCTGTCCAAGAGCCTTGGTGGCGCAGTGGTTAGAATGCAGTACTGCAGGTTAACTCATTGCTTACTCCAGGAGTTCAATTCTGAGCGGCTCAAGACTGATTCAGCCTTCCATCCTTCCAAGGTCACTAAAATGAAGACCTGGATTGTTGGGGGCAATATGTTTGTTCTGTAAACTTCTTTGAGGGGGTTGTAAAGCACTATGAAGCGGTATATAAGTGCTATTGCTGTCAAGATCTTTATGTATCTTGAGTCTATCTTCTGAAGTATTCCTGCCAGCTTGGTGTGGCCTGAAAATTTGATGAATTTCCCATCTATCCCGTTGTCCAAATCATTGATGAACATGTTAAAGAGTACTGGGCCCAAGAATTCTTCAATTCTTATTTTCATGGTGAATGTGTCTGTTTATTTGCTACAATGCCTAAATAGCCCCCACAACATGTTCTTAACATTTCAAATGTTGCACATCAGTCCCAAAAATTATGGATCCCTGCTATTGTAAGGAGCTCACTAGAATTGCAACATTAAAAGCATAAAGAAACCCTGGCAGATCCACTGAAGTACAAGTAAGGATTTCTAGAAATATTTCCAATCCTATAGCTGATCTGAATTTTAAAATAATTCTTGGGATTCTAAGGACCATAGCAAGGACATAAACATAGATTGTACATACTTACCAAACAGTTCATGATTTCCACTCCACTTGGATTCACAGTTAATGCTTCATCATACAACTGCTTAGCCTCTTCCAAGCTGCCATTCATCTCTGCGAGCCTCCCCCGCATGTACAGCACAGCATGAGATGTGGGAAAGAGACTGGCTGCCTCCTGGATACAAAAGCCTGCTTCTTTGAGATGCTGTTGTTCCATGAAGACTTCAGCTACAGAACCCAAAACAAAGCACAGATATATTCTAAGCTTTATTATGGAGATCACAAAACACTTAGAATATTAGTAACTTAAAAATAATGGTCACAGGAAAGATAACTTGCTTATGGCGCATGGATTTTCAAAAGGTGCTAGAAATCTATAAAACATGAGCATCATAGGGTTTGAAGGGACCTCAGAGGTGTTCTAGTCCAGCCCCCTACCAGACCTTAAACCGTCTGCTAAAATGGTTATCCAGTCTTATTTTTTGAAATCTCCAGTGATGGAGCACCCACAACCTCCTGAAGCCAAGCTAGTCTATTAATTGTTCTCACTATCGGAAAATGTCTCCTTATTTCTAGGTTGGATTGTTGGTTGCCCAGCCAGATATTAAGAATGGATTTGACATTTTTGTCCACTTCTTGAGTCTTTCCCAAGGATAGGCAGATGCTGTTGTTCGATAATATTAAAGGTATAATGATTATTATGATTATGAGCGTTTTTTCAGGCCATACAATGAATTTTTCATTTGGTCTACTTAAATTGGGCCTGCAGAATATGTGGCCTGCCACCAGATTTGTGTTGGCCAAGTGATTTTTTGAAAACTTCTTGAATTTGCTGCCACCAAATGTTGCCACTGCTTAGGAAGATCCAATCTCAGCCTAGGTTTTCACAGCCAACTCTGACATCAAATACATGCTCTCGAGCACTTCCAAGGCTCATTGATATAATTGCTGCTGCACCAACAGTCACTAAACAGTTGGATCACACCAGCTTTGTGACCCACAATTATCTTTAAGGTATTGATTTGACCCTTTTTCCTTTATTTGTGCATGCTTGAATTGAATCAACAAAAACGTAGGTGATGGGTTTTAAAGAAAAGTAGCTTTTAAAAAAAATATCTTTCACTTCTCCTTTTTTGTGTGGAATACAGTCCTTTCTTTGGTCTTTCTCTGCCCTTCCAACAAATATATGGGTTCATTTAGAGCTTTCACTTTTGTTATTGCTCTGTGGGGAAGAAGACTAATTCTCTTGGTGAATATATGAAGCTATGTAATACCAAGAGCGTTGCCTGCTCTGAAACTAGGTTTCTAATGGGAGGAGGGTTTTTTTTCATCAGTTTAACAAAAAGCACCTCACCCTATCAATATTTCTAATAAAAGAAAATATATACAAGATCCAGACATTTTACAGTATCTGTGAGGCCCATCCAAGGAATTGCTACACTCGCCAGTCCAAAGTTTCTTGTGCTCTGCCTGGCAATTTTTGGGAAATCCTCCTTTGTTATTGCTGCCATCAGAGAAATGACAGCAATATTTGCATACAAATAAAAACTGACCATTGCTGATCCATAGAGAATCTGTGAAATTATTATTTTATATTGATATTGTTTTTATTTGAGCCCAGGGTACTTCACAAAGATTTTTTGAGGGGGGAGGGGGAGGAGAAGGCAAGTGATATACACCACCCCTTAATACTTGTATATGATGTCATGATGCAAGTGTGGAAAGGTACAGTTTGTGTTTAGATATCACAATACACATTTCATGACTTTGGTTATGAATGAACCCTATAACAACTATAGGGGTCTACTTAATTTTAACTCTAAAACAACCTTGTCAGCCTTCAAGATTTTCTTCCTTTGCTTTGCATTTCAGCTGTCATAAGTAATGGGGGGGAGGAGGGGGGACATGATTATGGGAAGCGAGCTGGAGGTTTCACAAAACAGAACTGTATAAGTTGGCAGGGGGGAGTTTCTTGCTTAGGCTTCTATCCTATGCTATGCCCAACCACAACTCTTTATCAAAATATGACAAGGTCAATGGACAGAGGCCTCATCACCACCTGGAGATGCCCACATGATGCTATACACAACTTTTAATTGGATGAGCCAATTTAACTATTGGGGGTGGGAACGTTGCCATCACTTTGTATATGTGATTTACGCGCCCATTTTCTCAGATTCAGAATTCTTTTGTTGCTACCACTTGATTTCCAGTAAAAGATATCTTTTCTCTAATTAATGGAATCTAAGTATTTCTTTCTTGGATTTTGAATGGAGCACCATCTGACAGGTAGGCTGGGAAAAAGCATTTAACAGAAAATTATCGGCAACTTTCGACAACTGAGGCTGACCTTGATTCTGGATATCTCTTTGACCTCAGATCCAAAAGCTTAAAATCTTCACTGCAACAATCAGGGAAAGGTGGGTGGGGGGAATTTCAGGAGCTTTACAGCAGAAATGGGTGTCTTAACCATCTGCCAAACTTAAAGCATCCAGTTTGACTCACAACCCCACTCTAAAATTCTTCCCAATTCAATGCATTTTGGTTCCACCTATTCTCGGAAACCACAAAACTGATGGTCACTTACAGCTCTGGGTCCTCATGTTTTATACTTTTTTAAACTGTTGCAAAAGTTCAGCTCTGAATTCTCCTTTTGTATTTTTGGGCGGATCTAATTGACACTGATATGCATATCCTTAGACACAGATAGTCATAATAATGAACTCTGGCAACATCACGAGTATCATTTTCTTCTTCTCTGATTTAAATTGCTCATTACAGTTGTACATCAATACGTCGGAGTCTTGATTCCTTCATGTTTGATGCTAATGGTTTCAGAAAATCAGAGACATTCTATCTTGTTTGATGAGCGGAATGGCTGAAAACTGTCCCATCTGACTCCTATCAACTGTTTGCAGTCAATCCAATTGCCCGAATAGAGGGGAATTATGTAGGACTTCACTATTCAGTTCAATTTGGGGATCAGCTTCATTTAGCCACATTATAAGTATTTTATATATTGATGAAAAATTCTTCTTTCTTTTACGTTGTGCCTTTTAAATTGTGCCTTTTTCAGTTTTTAAATTGCCTCTACTCTTTTTGCTGCAAAAAAATAACATAAATACCTCTTGGGAAACTATTGATCTGATGGAAACCATTTTGAGAACCTTTCCAGCTGAATAATAAGAAATTCTTTAAAACAATCTTTTTTATAGCTTAAATTTAAAAACATTTTGCATAACTTAATGTTTCATAAAGGGAGCATTAGAAAGAACAGGTTATTTTTTACTTAAAAGTATTAGCACCCCACCCTCACCCCCTGGATGTATTTACAATATATAAGAGATAGATGGGGGTCTATTTTTACAAAGGAAAAGTATGAGCAACAAGATTGCTCTAATGTTTATGTTTTGCAACAAGTTGTAATATGTGCCTGCATTTCTCAACTGGAAATACTGGGCAAGAATACTAATGCAATCTGACGACATGGATCCAGTTTTGTTAATGTAAACATTGTTATGATCTATGTAAAACAGTTATTAAGCCCTCATAAAAATCTTTAGATGACTATATTTTGTTTTTACTGAACTAGTTCATGAAATATTTCAACAGGCAAATTAGTAATTCTTCCTAATGCTATTGGAAAAAATATTTTTAAAATAAATAATTACAATTATTCAGTTCTCTGGTATCAGACACCATTAGAATACCAAGGTAAGAGCTGACAACATTTAATATTGTCACATAACAAAAGAAAGAACAGGGGGAAAAAACCCAATCCTTAAAGCAGAGTTTCTCAAACTTCTCCCCCTGGAGAAATCCTTGAAATAATGTTCAGGCCTCAGGGAACTCCTGTATTAAAAATTGCAAAAAATACAAAAACTTGTCAGTACAATTCACTTCTAACCTACTCACAACCCATGTTTTACAATGGTTATAATAATAACAAAGCAGCAGGCTGCAGCTGAGTCACAGCATGCAATAATTCCTACCACTGTGAATGCTAGTATTATGTAGCATGCATAGTTAAAAAAAATGTCAGTCATAATCTTGCATGGAACCCCTAGTGTCTTGAGAAAAAAACCCACTTGTGGAAGGTAGCTGTAAAGTAACACCTTCATTTGTAAGAAGGATGAGGGGTGTTATTTAGCTATGGAATGATAGCTGAGACTAAGTAGCTGATGGTAGTGGAGCTGAGGACCCTGGCCATAGTAGCCTAGAAATGCCAGTGACTAAGAACACCCCATCTCTTAGGGTTTGATAGGGCTGTCAAATTTCTAGCTCGTGGGCCGGATGTGTCATGTGCTGGCCACACCCCGCCCAGTTTAGCAAAGAGGGGGAAAAAGTCCCAATACGTCCCGTGATGCCACCATGACAATGTGAACTTGACACCCCTGTCTTAGAAAGATGAGTGGCAGGAGGGTTGATCTGAGCGTTTCAGTCCCACCATTTAGCTTGTCTCCAGCCCCCTCCTCCTGGACTTGGCTAGTCTAGTAAAGAGAAGGACCAGGGGAGACATGATAGCAGTCTTCCAATATTTGAGGGGCTGCCACAGGGAGGAAGGGGTCAAGCTATTTTCTAAAGCACCTGTAGGCCAGACAAGGAATAATGGATGGAAACTGAACAAGGAGAGATTTAACCTGGAAATAAGGAGAAACTTTCTGACAGTGAGAACAATCAACCAATGGAACAGCTTTCCCTCGGAAGTTGTGGAAGCACCATCACTTGAGACTTTCAAGAAGAGATTGGACTGTCATTTGTCGGAAATGGTAGGGTCTCCCGCTTGGGTGGGGGGTTGGACTAGATGACCTACAAGGTCCCTTCCAACTCTGATTATCTGTTAAATGATATACAGGTAATCCTTGACTTAGACTTAGAATCCTCAATCCTCTCAGGAAACAGTAATGAAGTAATTTAGATATCTCGGGAAAGGTGCATTTTTGTATATCATTTCTTCCAAAAACTGCCTAGTTTTTGGAGCTATACTTTATATTTTCAGTATTAGAGACTGAAAAATACAAATTAAAAATTAGTAAAATGATGTCCATGCATTTTAAAAATACGTCAATGCTGAGCAGTGTGCAGCTAAGGGAGCTCATACAACAGGTATGAGGAGTCAAGGCCTGAAGATGTATCTCTTAATATTGTTTCCAGATGCATGAGTTCTGGAATGCAGTTACATTATCTTTTGACATAATGCTTTTTTTATTATTGCAGTGCAAGGCAAT